TTAGCTGTGTTGGGGGATATGGTGTAGGGGAGAACTTTGTAGAGTAGGGTAGATGTTTGGACTCGATGATCCCAAGGGTCTTTTCCAACCTAAACAATTCTATGATCCTATGAACAGTCACCTTCCATCTGGAAGGAGGGAGGCCCCGCAGTGAGCTGGGTCCTGCCGCTCTCTCCCCGCAGCGCTGAGCAGCCATGGAGAAGATGCAGCAGGTCGTTGGGCGGGCGAGAGCCGCCTTCAACTCGGGCCGTTGCCGCTCGCTGGAGTTCCGGCTGCAGCAGCTGAAGGCCCTGGAGCGGATGGTGCAGGAGAAGGAGAAGGAGATCCTGGCAGCCCTCAAGGCGGATCTGCACAAGGTCTGAGTCAGGGGGTTTTTCCTATGAGCCATGCATAGACGGTGGTCAACCCCGAAGGGACAGTGGGAAGGCCAAGGGCTGCCTTTTCCCCTGCCAGGTGGCTTGAGCTGATGCCTCCCATGATCCCAGCTCTCACTGTAGCTTGCCAAGGTTTGCTGCTACCGTTCCTAAGAAGGAGCTAGTTTGAGTCAGGGCAGTGAAGGCAGGTCCTGGCTATCAGGGTGTGGCTTCTGCTGCACACTGAGCCCTATGCATCCAGGCTTGGCCATCTTTTCTGCCACTTTAAGGCAGCAGAATGTACCTTGCTTCTCTGGATGCTTTGCCATTCCCTCCCCAAGCTCTCTCTCATTCCAGAGTGTCTATGAGCCATGCATGGACGGTGGTCAACCCCGAAGGGACAGTGGGAAGGCCAAGGGCTGCCTTTTCCCCTGCCAGGTGGCTTGAGCTGATGCCTCCCTTGGTCCCGCCTCTCACTGTAGCTTGCCAAGGTTTGCTGCCACCGTTCCTAAGAAGGAGCTAGTTTGAGTCAGGGCAGCAAAAGCAGGTCCTGCCTATCAGGTTTTGGCTTCTGCTGCACACTGAGCCCTATGCATCCAGGCTTGGCCATCTTTTCTGCCACTTTAAGGCAGCAGAATGTACCTTGCTTCTCTGGATGCTTTGCCATTCCCTCCCCAAGCTCTCTCTCATTCCAGAGTGGGCACAATGCATATAGCCACGAAATCCTGGGCGTGCTGGGGGAGCTGGCCCTGACCATGGACAAGCTGCCGTCCTGGGCAGCCCCACGGCCTGTGAAGAAGAACCTACTGACGATGCGGGACGAGGCCTACATCTACCCCGAGCCACTGGGGGTGGTGCTGATCATCGGGGCCTGGAACTACCCCTTTGTCCTGGTCATGCAGCCTTTGATCGGGGCCATTGCAGCAGGTGGGGACCCACCACAACCCCTGTCCTTCCTGGGGCCTTGGGTGGATGCTGCAGGAGGCAGGAGAGGAGTGCAAGGTGTCAGTGTCCATGCAGCATTTGTGTTGTAGGCAATGCCGTGGTGGTGAAGCCATCAGAGATCAGCGAGAACACGGCTCAGCTGGTGGCTGATCTCCTCCCCCAGTACCTTGACCGGGTGAGTGTTGCCCCATGCCTGGTGTAATTGTCTCGAGGAGATATCTGTCTTGCTTTTGAGTGGTACCTGTAAATTAGAGTCAGATCAGTTGTCCACTCTCTCCAGAGGAGTGTAAGCAGGATATATAGAAATGGTTGAATTGCTCTTAGAGTGCGGAGACACTTTGACATATTCCTCCTGAGTTTGTGTAATTTAATGTGCCTCCATAAGGTTGTTGCAACATGGCAGCTTTTTTGACATTCACAACCCTGTAAAGAGCTGTGTGTGTAATTCTCACTGCAATAATTGCTCTTGGACACTGTGCTGGGGTTGCCTCTGGGTAAGCACAAGTTTGCGTTGGATACTGGCTGTGCCTGTCTCTTCCTGAGAGTTGGGTGCCATTGGCTCAGTAGCAATATGTCCCCGGTATTCATGTCCTTTTGAACCATGCTCATAGAGAGAGATGTTTTTCCTCTACTTGTTTGACAGGTCCGACATCCATTGTGCTGTCGCTCTGACAGCAGGGCCCCACCGTGCAGTTTCCTCTGGGCAGTTAGTGCAGTCTGTAAGCAAGAGTTGAGAGCTGAGGAAGGAGACAGCCCTCAGGAGAACCTGGCAGTTATATGTGCTCTTGGTCTTAGTATGTGAGAGTAGGTCCACAGCCTGACTCAGTCCTGGCCTCAACTTCCATTTCCTTTAGTTCATGTGGCACAGTACGGCAGGTGAAACTTCATTTCAGGGGAAGGAGCAGAACTTGTCTCTGTAACTGCCATCCTTTGTCCAGATCCTAACATAGCTCATAAGTGAGTCTGCCCATGCAGAGCTGTTGCCTTGATAGATTTGCTTTCAACCAAAGTGATTGTAAGGCTCTTGTTTGCCCTGCAGGAGCTGTACCCCGTGGTCACTGGAGGAGTACCCGAGACAACAGAGCTGCTGACCCAGAGGTTTGATCACATCCTCTACACCGGCAACTCCGCAGTGGGCAAAATCGTGATGGCAGCAGCTGCCAAGCACCTGACGCCCGTCACCCTGGAGCTGGGTGGGAAGAGCCCCTGCTACATCGACAAGGACTGTGACCTGGCCGTCGCCTGCAGGTCAGGCTGTGGCAAGCCCTCAGTTGGCCATTGTCCCTGGACTGTGGGGTCACTCAGGCATGATTGACTGGGTGGTGGGGTCTGGAAGGGATTGACTGTGGAGAAACCATCTCCCTTTCTCCTGCAGGAGGATAACATGGGGGAAGTACATGAACTGTGGGCAAACCTGCATCGCCCCAGACTACATCCTCTGCGACCCGTCCATCCAGAGCAAAGTGGTGGAGAACATCAAGGCAACTCTGCAGGTGAGTGTGGAGTTCCTCGTGCTGTGGGAGTTGTCCCCGTTGCAGCCCAGGTCTGAGTTCTGTGGCAGCAGCCCTGGAGCTGTGGCTGTTGTGAAGGTGTGTTGAGGGCTTTGGCTGTGCTGTGCTCTTTGGCAGGAATTCTATGGGGAAGATGTGAAGTCATCTCCAGATTACGAAAGGATCATCAACAAGCGTCACTTCAAGAGGATCATGGGCCTGCTGGAAGGGCAGAATATCGCTTACGGAGGACAGACTGATGAGGCCTCCTGCTTCATAGGTGCTTCTGGCAACTGTTGGGGAGGGGAGGTGGTGGTGGTGTGTGCCTTTTGGGGGCTGTGCTTGTGTCTGTGGCTCCCTTGGTGTGTGTTGAATGCAAGCGGTGCCCAGGATGAGGTCCTGTGATGGACCATGTCTTCTGTGCTGCTCACGCTGTCTCTTGCCCTCCTGTTTGCCTCAGCACCGACTATCCTCACCGACGTTTCTCCGGAGTCAAAGGTGATGGAGGAGGAAATCTTTGGGCCAGTGCTCCCCATTCTGCCCGTGAAGAACGTGGATGAAGCCATTGAGTTCATCAACCGTCGTGAGAAGCCCCTTGCCCTCTATGTCTTCTCAAACAACAAGAAGGTGGGTCTGGGCTGTACTCTCCTGCAGAGGGGACTGTTTGCAGTTTGATGCTGAATGTGGCCAGTCCCAGGCACGTGTCCCCACAGGGTCTGTGTTGGTTCCTCTTTGCTTTTGAATCGCAGTGTTTGTCTCTCAGGGGACCACGAGTGTCCCCAGAGCTGCTGTATCCTCGCAGTCTCCTGCTTTGCATTTGCATGACTTTGTGAAATAGAAGGATAAAGGGCTGAATTTCCTCTGTAGTGCCTTGAAGTCTTTCATGATTAATTTAGTTACTTTTAATTTATTAGGAGGCAAGCTCCCAGATTTCCAACTTTCACATCCTTCCTCTCAACTTTTCCACTTTCTTCGAGTTAATGCTGCATGGAGAGGGCTCATTGGAGTTACCAGCCAGAGGAAATTATACGATGGCCTGTTGGCTCGTAGCTCCCCTCGCCATCTGTCTCAGTTACACGGTCTGGTCTCTTCTGGGCCTTATAATGTTCTGTTTGGTTTTTTTTTCTTTTCTTTTATCAGTTAATCAAAAGAGTAATCTCTCAGACCTCCAGTGGGGGTGTTACTGGAAATGATGTCATCATGCATTTCTTCCTCTCAACCTTGCCCTTTGGTGGTGTGGGTAAGTTACTGGAGCTCCGTAAGTGTTGTGACTCGATGCACGGTGTGAGCCAGGGAACAACAGCAGTTGTTCTTTGTCCAGTTGCCCCTGTGCCTCTTACAGCCAAAGGGTCTCTGTACAACAGATCTCAGTAACAAATTTGGGGAGTACATTAGGAAAGGGTCCTAAAGAGAAAAACCTTTGGGTGTGTTTGGGGGAAGATTGAAGCAGTTAGTGCAGACTGACGTGAAAGTTGAAGTAAAAACATCAGCTGTGATCAGAAGTAATTGCAGGAGAAAGGGTAGGACTGCAGTTTGTAGAGACTTGGAACAGGTTATGGAACAGCCTACAGGAGCTTTGCAGAAGAGGGTTTGGGTGTTAGAGTGCTCACAAGCTGACTGAACCCGCAGTGTTCTGCTGCAGTGAACAGCACGTGCTCTCCTGGAATCGGACAATGGAGGTGGATCCTCCAGGGTTCCTCAGGAAACCCTTCACACAGCACATACAGAGACACAATGAAGTATGTAGTGAAAACGGGATGGGGAAGAAGAGGGGTGGAGTAGAGAGGGACATCTTAGAGACAGAGAAGTGCTGCAGAGAGGAAGGAACAATTGTCTTCTCTGAAGGAGGAGAAGCTGTGCTTTTAAAGTGAGGAAGGAAGATGCAGGGTAGGTAGCACACACTGCAGCTGGCAAACAACTGGCATCTTCCTGTGATGCTTTTTGTCCTGCTGGTGGCCTCCAGCAGCCAGAGGATTGACTGGCTCAGCCTGTGGTGTGACCTGTGTGGGTTGTGTCCCTCAGGTAACAGCGGGATGGGCGCCTACCACGGCAAGCACAGCTTTGAGACCTTCTCCCACCGCCGCGCCTGCTTGATCAAGGACCTGAAGATGGAGGTTGTGAACAAACTCCGGTACCCACCTGGCAGCCAGAAGAAGTTGGATTGGGCCAAGTTCTTCATCCTGAAGCGGTCTAGGAAGGGCCGTGTGTGACTGGCCATCTTGGCCCTGCTGGGGATTGTGGCAGCTGTGGTGATAAAGGTGAGCTTTGGCTCTTTGCCTTCTACATGAGTGCACGTGCAATTCCTCTGATCTTCTGCAAGTTCCTTCTTTGCAACTGCAGTCCTTTCTTAGAGCCTGGGCTATTTTTTTCTGTCTTGATAATTTCTCTTGTAAGTCTCAAGATGTGCTTCTCGCTCTTGCAAGTGCTATCTAGAATAGAAATGTCCTCAGAGAAGTCTCCTGGGCTTGTTGCTGTGCCTTGGTGGGTGACACCCATGAGAAGCTCCCTCCAGAGGCAGAGATCGGTACTTTTTGGACAGGTCTCTAGAGAGATTTTGATTCGTGGGCTTCTTTCAGCAGCAGTTGTGAGCTGCTCCACAGCCTTGTCCTGCTGGCTGCAGTTTTGCACCTCAGGGCCCTGGGGAAGGGAATCTGTGTCCTAATGCCAAGGGCTAGAGCGAGCTCTTGTTCCTCGGCCAGTTGCAGTTGAACCTGTAGTTCAATTATTTCCATTTCCTCCCCTCATTCCGGCTGGGTAGTGCGGAAGGGTGGGATGTCCTCCCGTCTCTGCAGGAGGCAGAAGCCCTCTGGTGCTGGCTGAATGACTCAAGATGCCTCCTGAGATGGAGGAGTAATATCTAAATCTTCAAGTGTGATTGCTGGTGGTTCTCCATGGCTGGTGGACCAGGCACTATAAGTGCCTGCACTGGCTGCTCCTTGCAAAGCTTAACTGTGCATCCTGGTGGTTTAATAGGCTTGAGGAGGCAGCCGTGGAGGGGACAGGAGGTGGCAGGGTGGGTCAGACTCTGCCCTTCAATCTGGTCTGTGTGGTTATTGCTGCAAGGAGACATGCAGGAGCCCAGCAAGCCAGGGAGATAACCAGACTGCTTATCTGAGTCCAGGAGGACGTGTAGGAGCCAACAACTGGCTCAGGTCTTGAAGCACCAGCCAGGGAGGCAGGCCCTGTTTAGGTGAATGCCTTCTCAGTGAAGAGGGGGGGGAAACTCACAGCATCTTGAAACCATTTGGGTTTTCTCAGAATCACCAGTCTGTGCTGAAGAGAAAAGCCCTCTTGATTGTGCTGGCTGTTCAGAGGCTGGGCTGGCTCAGTGAGTGGTAAGGAGGAGCAGGTCTCAGAGCACTCCTGTGGCTGTCACAGTGAGGTAGGAGCCTTTTTCTTCTCCTGTGTGTAGATGTGTGATTTGAGACTGCGCAAAGCCTTGTTAGAGCAGTGACTGTGGGGCTTGCAGAAGGTTCTCCCCTGGAGCCAGAGAGCGATGCTTTCCCTGGAAGCGCTCAGAGCTCATACAGCATCCAGGATAACCAGTCAGTGCATGCTGAGGGGCGCTGGGGAAGTCGCCTTGAGTGAAGGGGCTTTGCTTCAGGCTGTTCTAGAAAGCAAGTTGGGATTTTTTTTCAGCAAATCCTTGACAGGACATTGGTATTGTGTTTTGCTTTCACAGATGGTTTACTACTGAAGAGAGGAGAAGGCGCCATGTGCAAGTCACACTCTGAGAGCTCACTTTGTGTCCGTTTCCTTAAGCTGAGAAGTCTTTTTTTTTTTTCTTTTTTTTTTTCCTTTTCTACTGGGTTATTTCAGTGAGCTGTCACACACACAGAGCAGCCTTAGAGAGGCACTAACCAAGAGAAGGCTTGGACTCCTGTTTACTAAAAAGCCGTGCTGAAAACAGAGGGACCAGTGGGTACAAGCTCTCAAAAGGAGGACTGCAGAGCAAGAAATACCAGTCCCTACCTCCACCCCATGCCCTGCAGAGCACTGCTTCCACGGAAACACGCACACTGTGTCTTGCACCAGACCTCTTACCTTCCTCCAGTGACAAACAGGAGCTGAAATTTCAGCTGCGATTAGGTTTTTGTGTTTTCCCTGCTGTTTTTGGGATGGTCTGTCTTCTGTTGTGCTCCAAAACATCACCCTCTTGGTGACAAGTCTGAGGCTGTGCTGGCTGATGGTTTTTTGCCGACAGGGATGGTGATGAATAAACCCAGTGAGGTCCCTTTGTGTTAAATTGAGGTAAAATATTCGTGGATCCCTATGAGCCAGAATCGTCCACAGCTGGTCAGGAGGTGCAGGCTGACTCCATTTTTGGGGGCTCTGGGTTTCATCATGTGCCCATAAGAATTATTTGGCAGTTAGAAAATGACAAAGGTGATACCTGCGCCACCTGTGTTTTGCTGATAAGGGCATGTTGTGTTCATACAAAGGAAGTTTCAGGCCTGTTTAGAGAAGAGGGAATCGCAGAGTACCCTGTGGTGGGTCTGCCCAGGTGGGTGCCCAAGCCCTGCGCAGCCGCTCAACTCGCTCACCCCAGTGGGAGAGGGTAAAAGAGAAAACATGTAGGTTGAGATGAAGTTGGATTGGTAAAATGAAATTTGGGCATGTAAGGTAGCAAATTAAGGAATGAATTCACTACTTCTCCTTGGCAGGCAGATGTTCAGCCATCCCCAGGAAGGCAGGGCTCCATCACATGTAGCAGTGACTTGGGAAGACAGATGCTGTAACTTCCAATGTCCCCTCACCTTCCTCTTCTTTCCCCCCAGCTTTTATCTGTGAAGGCAATATCATACGGCCTGGAATATCCCTGTGGTTAGCTGGGGTCACCTCTCCCAGCCGTGTCCCCTCCCTAATTCTTGCCCCCCGCCCCCAGAGCGCTGTTTGGCACAGCCAAACCCCAGGTGTGTCACTGACACTGTTCTGCTCACAAATCCAAAGCACTGCACCATCCTGCTATGAAGAAACTTAGCACCTATGATTAAAATTAACTTCATCCCAGCCAAAACCAGTACAAACCCGTTCCTGGTCCGACTCCTCCGAGAGAAAACAATTACTGAAAAGAGTGTGTACTCCTTTGCGTTTTTGCTTCTTGGGTCTGCTATAATCTTGCACTGGGAGATCATATGGGGCTTGTTCTAGCTTGGGGAGAGGATGCTGGAGAAATTTAATGTGAAAGGACCTTAGAAATATTAATGTTTAAAGAAGGTAAATTTAAAAAGTATTATTAAATGCAATTACTCACTCTAGAGTAGAAAATTATATTTACTGTGCAATAGATGGGATTTCTTCATGTCTGGTGAAAATCCTTGTGCCTAAACCTTTTTAATGATATATTTTGCAAGTACTAAATAAACACTGAGAATTTCAATAATAAACTGAGCGTGGTAAGTCCCTGCAGTCTCCTGGGGAATCCTGCCCGTCCTCTGCCGCTCCCGGCTCTGGTGGCCCAAGGTGACACGTGTGTTGCGAGGTGCCTCTGCCACAGCGCAGGTCCCCAGCACGATGACATCCCTGTTCATGGGGACGGAACCCCCCGGAGCTCTGGCAGGGAAGAGGAGCAGGTAGGGTGTGAGGTGAGGTGGTGCCGGGAGCTGTGGAGGAGCTGGACTGGTTTTCCTCCTGTCCTGTGCAGATCCACCCCCCTGATGGCCTCCCACCTGTGGGCGCTGCCCGGTTGGGGTTTGTGTCCAGTTCTGGGCTCCCCAGTTCAAGAAGGACAGGGAACTGCTGGAGAGGATACAGCGGAGGGCTGTTAAGATGATGAGGGGCCTGGAGCATCGCCCTTATGAGGAGAGGCTGAGGGACTTGGGTCTTTTTAGTCTGGAGAAGAGAAGGCTGAGGGAGGATCTGATCAATGCTTATAAATAGTTAAAGGGTGGGTGTCAAGAGGATGGGGCCAGTCTGTTTTCAGTGGTGCCCAGGAATAGGACAAGAGAAAATGGGCACAAACTTGAACATAAGAAGTTCGACCTAAACACGAGGATGAACTTCTTTCCTTTGAGGGTGGCAGAGCCCTGGAAGAGGCTGCCCAGGGAGATGGTGGAGTCTCCTTCTCTGGAGACATTCAAAAGCCACTTGGACAAGTTCCTTTGCAACCTGCTCTGGGTGAACCTGCTTTGGCAGGGGGGTTGGACTCGATGATCTCCAGAAGCCCCTTCCAAACCCGTGTGATTCTGTGATTGTGTGCTCAGATCTGGACGATAGCACGGGCTGTGTTCCTTTGGCTCCCCACGGCTGCTGCCTCACGTGAAAGCGCTCCCCCAGCCTCGTGCCCCCGACGAGGGCAATGCCACGTGCCCTCTCGCAATCTGTCACGGGCGGCTGAGTCACTGCCCCGGCAGAGCACGACCATCCAGGGCTTGTGTATTCGCAGGGTGAGGACATATCTGAGTAAAGGGCATCTTGCATCTAGGGAGAGCCCTGGGCCTGGGCCAGCTCTACCCTGGTGGGAGGAGGAGACATCGCTGCGAGCTGTGTCAGGGGAAGGGCTTGTGCCAGCTTGCACTTGCTGCGGGAGACTGGTGGAGAGAGAAGCTGCTCTGAAGGTAACTTCCTTTTTTTTCTTCTTTTTATTATTTAATGAGTCATCTGCTTTCTTGGTGAGGATCGGGGCTGCACCACACAGCTGTGGTGGCAGCAGGGAAGAAGGGCAGATTTTAAGGGTTGCAAGGGAACCTTGGTGCCTCCATTGGCTAGACAGGAACTGCAGGCAATCTCTTGTCCTGAATAAAGAGAGGAAAACTGCTCCTGAGAAGCCAGATGAAACCTCTGCAACCTTTTCTTGTATTTCTGCAATGCCTCGCAGTTCCAGGGACGGCAGGTGCAGGCTGTCTCCATCTCTGGAGACATTCAAAAGCCACTTGGACAAGTTCCTTTGCAACCTGCTCTGGGTGAACCTGCTTTGGCAGGGGGGTTGGACTCGATGATCTCCAGAAGCCCCTTCCAAACCCGTGTGATTCTGTGATTGTGTGCTCAGATCTGGACGATAGCACGGGCTGTGTTCCTTTGGCTCCCCACGGCTGCTGCCTCACGTGAAAGCGCTCCCCCAGCCTCGTGCCCCCGACGAGGGCAATGCCACGTGCCCTCTCGCAATCTGTCACGGGCGGCTGAGTCACTGCCCCGGCAGAGCACGACCATCCAGAGCTTGTGTATTCGCAGGGTGAGGACATATCTGAGTAAAGGGCATCTTGCATCTAGGGAGAGCCCTGGGCCTGGGCCAGCTCTACCCTGGTGGGAGGAGGAGACATCGCTGCGAGCTGTGTCAGGGGAAGGGCTTGTGCCAGCTTGCACTTGCTGCGGGAGACTGGTGGAGAGAGAAGCTGCTCTGAAGGTAACTTCCTTTTTTTTCTTCTTTTTATTATTTAATGAGTCATCTGCTTTCTTGGTGAGGATCGGGGCTGCACCACACAGCTGTGGTGGCAGCAGGGAAGAAGGGCAGATTTTAAGGGTTGCAAGGGAACCTTGGTGCCTCCATTGGCTAGACAGGAACTGCAGGCAATCTCTTGTCCTGAATAAAGAGAGGAAAACTGCTCCTGAGAAGCCAGATGAAACCTCTGCAACCTTTTCTTGTATTTCTGCAATGCCTCGCAGTTCCAGGGAAGGCGGGCGCAGGCTGGTACAGGCACACAGCTCTGCTTCCAGCTGGCTGCCCACTAAGGCCATGGTCATCTACACGTTTTGGCTCATGGGGAGCATCCCTGTGAGCAGAAGGAGGGGTGTCTGGTGGGTTTAAGGGGTATCCCAGATTTAGGAGAAAGCACACAGAGAAAAGGACCTATCAGCCATCCCCAGAGGTGCTAGGTTGCCGTGAGAGGTGCTCTCCATTGGTGGACCCTGTGCTGGTAGGATAGGGCATCAGAAGGTGGGAGCCCTGAGTAGTCATCTTGGGAGCAGGAGGTGACCCAAGCCCTGGGCCTGGGCCAGCTCTACCCTGGTGGGAGGAGGAGACATCGCTGCGAGCTGTGTCAGGGGAAGGGCTTGTGCCAGCTTGCACTTGCTGCGGGAGACTGGTGGAGAGAGAAGCTGCTCTGAAGGTAACTTCCTTTTTTTTCTTCTTTTTATTATTTAATGAGTCATCTGCTTTCTTGGTGAGGATCGGGGCTGCACCACACAGCTGTGGCGGCAGCAGGGAAGAAGGGCAGATTTTAAGGGTTGCAAGGGAACCTTGGTGCCTCCATTGGCTAGACAGGAACTGCAGGCAATCTCTTGTCCTGAATAAAGAGAGGAAAACTGCTCCTGAGAAGCCAGATGAAACCTCTGCAACCTTTTCTTGTATTTCTGCAATGCCTCGCAGTTCCAGGGACGGCAGGTGCAGGCTGGTCCAGGCACACAGCTCTGCTTCCAGCTGGCTGCCCACTAAGGCCATGGTCATCTACACGTTTTGGCTCATGGGGAGCATCCCTGTGAGCAGAAGGAGGGGTGTCTGGTGGGTTTAAGGGGTATCCCAGATTTAGGAGAAAGCACACAGAGAAAAGGACCTATCAGCCATCCCCAGAGGTGCTAGGTTGCCGTGAGAGGTGCTCTCCATTGGTGGACCCTGTGCTGGTAGGATAGGGCATCAGAAGGTGGGAGCCCTGAGTAGTCATCTTGGGAGCAGGAGGTGACCCAAGGAGGAGAACATCTCCTAGCCTTGCTCTGGGTGGAACATTTCTTATTAGTGGCCACACCTTGACTGTTCCCAGGCCTTGAACAGCTCTTGATGGCCCTGCAGTGAGCTGGGTCCTGCCCCTCTCTCCCTGCAGCACTGAGCAGCCATGGAGAAGATGCAGCAGGTTGTTGGGCGGGCGAGAGCTGCCTTCAACTCGGGCCGTTGCCGCTCGCTGGAGTTCCGGCTGCAGCAGCTGAAGGCCCTGGAGCGGATGGTGCAGGAGAAGGAGAAGGAGATCCTGGCAGCCATCAAGGCAGATCTGCACAAGGTCTGGGTTGGGGGGTTTCTCCTATGAGCCATGCATGGATGGCAGTCAACCCAGAAGTGGGAAGGCCAAGGACTGCTTTTGTCCTGCTGATGGCTTTTGCTGATGTCCTCCATGGTCCTGGATGACTTTGCCCTGCCTCCCCAGGCGTCCATGGTGGGTATGGGAGGCGGAGGCCTTTGCCATGCCCTCCCCAAGCTCTCTGTCATTGCAGAGTGGGCCCAATGCCTATGGCCACGAGATCCTTGGCGTGCTGGGGGAGCTGGCTCTGACCATGGACAAGCTGCCATCCTGGGCAGCCCCGCGGCCTGTGAAGAAGAACCTACTGACGATGCGGGACGAGGCCTACATCTACCCCGAGCCGCTGGGGGTGGTGCTGATCATCGGGGCCTGGAACTACCCCTTTGTCCTGGTCATGCAGCCTTTGATCGGGGCCATCGCAGCAGGTGGGGACCCACCACAGCCCCTGTCTTTCCGGGGACAATGGGTGGCTGCTGCAAGAGAGGAGCATGAGGGCTCAGTGTCCATGCTGCGTTTATGTTGTAGGTAATGCCGCCGTTGTGAAGCCATCAGAGATCAGCCAGCCCCTGTCCTTCCTGGGGCCTTGGGTGGGTGCTGCAGGAGAGGAGCACGAGGGCTCAGTGTCCATGCTGCATTTATGTTGTAGGTAATGCCGCTGTCGTGAAGCCATCAGAGATCAGTCCTTTGTCCTGGTCATGCAGCCTTTGATCGGGGCCATCGCAGCAGGTGGGGACCCACCACAGCCCCTGTCTTTCCGGGGACAATGGGTGGCTGCTGCAAGAGAGGAGCATGAGGGCTCAGTGTCCATGCTGCGTTTATGTTGTAGGTAATGCCGCCGTTGTGAAGCCATCAGAGATCAGCGAGAACACAGCTCGGCTGGTGGCTGATCTCCTCCCGCAGTACCTTGACAGGGTGAGTGAGGTCTGGTGTTGCTCCCCAGATTTTTCTGCACCACGGGGATACCCTCTGTTGGGGTGACCATGACACTCTCAACCTGCAGGAGCTGTACCCCGTGGTCACTGGAGGAGTACCCGAGACAACAGAGCTGCTGACCCAGAGGTTTGATCACATCCTCTACACCGGCAACTCCGCAGTGGGCAAAATCGTGATGGCAGCAGCTGCCAAGCACCTGACGCCCGTCACCCTGGAGCTGGGTGGGAAGAGCCCCTGCTACATCGACAAGGACTGTGACCTGGCCGTCGCCTGCAGGTCAGGCTGTGGCAAGTCTTTGGTTGGGGGTTCAGTAGAGGGGCAGGGACGCTGTGGGGCACGTGGACATCTCTGGGCTGTTATCCCTGGATTGCGGGTGTCACTCAGGTGCAACTGACTCCCCATTGCATCCCAGGTCTGAGTTCTGTGGCAGCAGCCCTGGAGCTGTGGCTGTTGTGAAGGTGTGTTGAGGGTTTTGGCTGTACTGTGCTCTTTGGCAGGAATTCTATGGGGAAGATGTGAAGTCATCTCCAGATTATGAAAGGATCATCAACAAGCGTCACTTCAAGAGGATCATGGGCCTGCTGGAAGGGCAGAATATCGCTTATGGAGGACAGACTGATGAGGCCTCCTGCTTCATAGGTGCTTCTGGCAACTGTTGGGGAGGGGCAGTGGTGGTGGTGTGTGCCTTCTGGGGGCTGTGCTTGTGTCTGTGGCTCCCTTGGTGTGTGTTGAATGCAAGCAGTGCCCAGGATGAGGTCCTGTGATGGAGCGTGTCTTCTGTGCTGCTCACACTGTCTCTTGCCCTCCTGTTTGCCTCAGCACCGACTATCCTCACCGACGTTTCTCCGGAGTCAAAGGTGATGGAGGAGGAAATCTTTGGGCCAGTGCTCCCCATTCTGCCCGTGAAGAACGTGGACAAAGCCATTGAGTTCATCAACCGTCGTGAGAAGCCCCTTGCCCTCTATGTCTTCTCAAACAACAAGAAGGTGGGTCTGGGCTGTGCTCTCCTGCAGAGGCGACTGTTTGCAGTTTGATGCTGAATGTGGCCAGTCCCAGGCACGTGTCCCCACAGGATCTGTGTTGGTTCCTCTTTGCTTTTGAATCGCAGTGTTTGTCTCTCAGGGGACCATGAGTGTCCCCAGAGCTGCTGGAGGCTCCCAGTCTCCTGCTGCAGGACTTTGGGTTTGCACACTTCCTGTGTGTGTCAGCTGGCCAGCCCACGCTCATGGATGCTGGTTCCTTGCATGTCTCCTGCCCCCGCTCCATGCTCTGTTGTGCCAGCTCAGGAATTTAGGTCAGGGCTCTACTCTGACACAACAGCCCCGGGCGGTTTGGGTGGGAGGGCTGAGGAGCACCCCAGGCTCTGGCTGATGCACTGCTGGCTCTGACCTCTCCTTTTTGGATGGACCCGCTTCATTTTGTGGCTGTTCCAGCAAGGCAGATCTTGTGCTAAAGTAATGTAAACCCAGCCTCTCTCAAGGAACAAGGCACAGCGTGCCCCTCGCAAAGAGAGACGCAAGCGTCACCTTGATACCCACCTCCTCTGCTAAAGGCCATGGTGTTTGTGGCCCATCTTGATTTCCCTCTGTTCTGTGCCATCTCTCATTCTGGGTAGCTGATCAGACGGGTGATATCGGAGACCTCCAGCGGCGGCATGACAGCCAACGATGTCTTCATGCACGCTTTGGTTCCTGATCTGCCCTTTGGCGGTGTGGGTAAGTCCCTGCTCCAACCCGTAGGTCTGGTTTCAGTCTCCCAGCAGCAGCTTCTGACCCAGATGCCATCATACGTGTTTGGCAATTCAGGAAAACTTTCAGCTGCATTTTCCCATTAGTATTATTTTCACTAATGGTTTCCTTTGTAAAACGGCTCATTAGTGGTCAGAGCAGTGTTGGTGCCAGTGGAGAGGAAAACCCTCTGGCACATCTGTCTGCGGCTCTGGTTCTCCTTTACCCAGCTATGGGGTGAAGTTGCCTGTGGGCAAGCAGATGGTTGAGTTTCCACAGTCACTGTCAGGCTCATGGTTCTGTGGCAGATACAACCTGGCTGTGGGTGGAGGGTGGAGGTCTTGGGTGTTTCTGATGGCAGGTTGCTGAATGTCCTCCTTATGTTCCACTGCTTATTCCTCCTGTCCCTTACTCCAGTGTAAATTTTGTGGGAGAAGCAGGACTGGCCCTGGGGAGGAGAGGCCTGGTGCCATTAACATTCCAAGGCTGGGTTCACACAACCAGCCTGAGCACCAGTTCAAGGCAGGGAGCAGGTCCTCACTTATTTCTGGGTAGTTATTAAAGCTGCTTTTTGCTTCTCTACCCTTGGGGAGCAGAGCAGCTGCTCCAGGTGTGAGAAGCACCACAACTAACCCTTCCCTGTGTTCTGAGCGCTGACAAACAAAATTTATTTAGGAAATGCCACTGTATCACTGTGCATGATGTGTCCTGTGTGGGTTGTGTCCCTCAGGTAACAGCGGGATGGGCGCCTACCACGGCAAGCACAGCTTTGAGACCTTCTCCCACCGCCGCGCCTGCTTGATCAAGGACCTGAAGATGGAGGTTGTGAACAAACTCCGGTACCCACCTGGCAGCCAGAAGAAGGTGGATTGGGCCAAGCTCTTCCTCTTGATGCAGTTTAACAAGGGCCGAGTGGGACTGGTCATGTTGGCCGTGCTGGGGATTGTGGCAGCGGTGGTGGCAAAGGTGAGCTTTGGTTCTCTGATGTCCCAGCTCTGTCCCCTGAGCCCTGGCCTGGTCTCAGCCTCCATCACCCTGTTGCCTCGGGCTCTGCTCCCTTCTTGTGGGCTCAGCCTTGTTTCTGTGCCTCTCCAGATGGTGTGCTCCGGACGAAGTGGGTGATCAACAGTCAGCAACACACCGGACCTGTAACCAGCCACTCACTCCCTGCAGTCCTAGTGCTGAACTCTTTTCTGCTGCAATTTCTTTTCTTCCAAGTCAGCCAATGCACTGAAGAGGTAGAAGCAAATGAAACCCACCAAAAGCAGAGAAGCCCCAAGCAGAAGGCCCCAGCTCCCACTGAAACACAGGAATTGGTTCAGACCTCAGCAGTGAGTGGTGGCAGATGGAAGGAGGCAGCATCTACCCCGCTTTGCAAACAGGATCCCATCTAAAAGCTCTGGGGAATGGAGGAATCATTTGTCACAAGGGTATCGGAACAAAGCCAGCTGTTGCTGAGCCTGTTGTCTGTGGAACACATCGTGTGATCCCCATAGAAAGCTGTCTCATACCAGCAATAAGCCTGACCAAATGTGGGTCTTACTGAAGGGGACAGCCCAGGCTGGTTGTCCCCATCAGCCTGCCAAGAGTAGAGGGAAAGAACCTCCAAGAACCTGCAGCACCCCACCCTCCAAAGGACTCACGACAAAACAGGTGATGTCTCATTGCAGGGGGAAACCACCTTTAGCCCTCCAAGGTGTGAAAGGCTACCTGAGGTGACAGCAAAGGCTGTGGGAGCTGTGCCCACACTCTGCCCAAGGACTCAAGGAGCACCAGGGACCACCATGCTGCATCTGGGGCTGTGTGACAACAGCGGCATTGCTGCCACCAGAGTCCCAGGTCTGGGGAAGTCCTTGGCCTCAGCTGAGCAGCCAGCCATCTCACGTGTAATTGAATTTCCACTTTTTATTGGTTTACTGGGAGTCTTTTACCTCCAAGCTTGTAACTGGAAGCTGCCTTGCTGAATAAAACCTTTGTTTTACTGCAAAGGCCGCTTGGGGCCGGGGCAAGACCCACAAGCCCCCCGGGCTCACTGCAGCCCCCAGCGTCGGACATTCCCCTGCCCTCAGCCCCCTCCCAAAGGAGCCAGCCCGAGTCCAGCTGGGTTTATCCTTTATTTGGCATTTTTGGCAGAGCAGCGGTGTGAGCCGGGCTGTGCTCGGCTCCGGTCGGCAGGCGATAGCCAGCAGCGCAGGCAGGAGAGGGGGACCCACACACCCCAAACAGCATTTTGGGGGTCAGAGCAGCCACAGGGCCTGTTCCCGAGTGGTGGCTGAGCAGATGCCACCGAATGCTGCCAGGGAGCCCTTTGGCTCCCATGGGACAGGCATGTGCTGGGTTCTCTCGCTGGCCGGTCTGTGCTTTGTACGTCCATCCATCAGGAGGGGCTTTTGCCCCCAAAGCAAAGTCCCCACAGTCCCTGGCACGAGTCAGTGTTTGCTGGTCACCAGCTTTATGACAATGCCAAGCGCAAGTACTGCGATGGCTGCGGCCACTGCCAGCCCCCGCCGGATGATCAGCTCCTTGGTGACCACGGCGGTGGCCGGAGGGGACGTGACAGGAGTGGCTTCCTGCAGCTCCAGCTGGTACGTTGGTCCCTCCGTCCTGGTGATGCCCGTGAGCACCACGCCGTTCTGTGCATCCACTCCCGCTGCAAGGAGAACAGGGCAGGGTCGCTGAGAGCTTTTCAGGGGGATTGAGGGGTGTCTTGGGAGGGTTTGGTCTGAGGTCTGAAAGCGCTTTACAAGCAGCACAGAGTGTGGAGATCTCCAGCCCTTGGTGGAGCTTCAGTGGGATTCGGTGTCTGCAAGGTGAGAACTGCCCCAGGGTGCCCCATCCCTCCAGGTCATCCCCCCAACAGCTTCCATCATCCTCCTGAGCCCACCCTTGTAATTACTGTTACAGGGGCATCACCAACACTATGATGCATCTCCATTTTGTGGGCTTGTTCCTGGTTTATGTGAACCCTTGGGGACCCTTCCTGGACCCCAAACTCACCACCCCACGCAGTGCCCAGCTCCTGGCCATACCTATGCACCCCTTCACCACCGTGGCAGGGGGGTATGTATGGGGCACTGGGGCTGGCCCCCCACCAGAGGGAAGGGCCTTGCAGGAGAGATCAAGGTCTGGGTTCGGCTCCTCTGGTGGTGGCTGGGTCACTCCTGCGCGGCGCTGAGCCTGAGGGAGGAAACGTAATGGGTTTAGCTGGTGGCACGTGGTGTGGGAAATCCCCACCAAGCAAAAGCAATGTGTCGCCTCTCATGGGGTTTATCTGGCTGGAAATGGCACCATGTTGCAGCTGAAAGGTGCCCAAAATACCCAAGTTATTCTGGCTGGTGGGAACCCTGGAATTGTTGGGGCACAAGACAATGCTCAGGACTGTAGGGTTGAGGTACACCTCAGTCAGCCCATCTGCTTTGTGCTTTGTGTGCCCAGCCAAGGGTGGCACAAGGGAAACCTTGAGGCCATCGAGTGTATGGGTGGGAGGGAGCTGAATATGGGGACGTGGTCACAGTCCCAAACAGGGGAGCACTATCTTTTGCTGGGGACACGATGAGGGATCAAGCTCACAATGCTGTCTTATCCCACTGTGATCCCAGCCAAGCTACTGGGGACCTTCCTAGTGGAAAGTTGCGATGCTGTGGGTGCCCAGGTTACCTCCTCGGCCGCCGTCCTCCAGTCCATGCGGCAGATGTAGGCGATGAAGCAGGTGCAGAGGATGGAGACGGAGACGAGCATGCTGAGCCACAGGCCTGCAGAGGGCATGCTGGCATCAGTCAGGCACCACGGCTGGACCAAACCCAACCCAGACAGCATCTCCGGACAGCGAGTCAAGAAAAGGGGACATCACCGAGGTCAGCAGGGACATGGGTATGGGGCAGCCGTGGGTGCTTGCTGTGGTGGTTGCTTTTTCCCAGTACAGTTAAAAGCTCTCAGTAGTTTCAAGGTCCACCCTGGTGTGCCCAGTCCCCAGCCAGGTAGGGGGAGCAGATCCAGGCAGGAAGGTCATGGTGAGCCATCGGTGGAGCTGGGGGGATCCCCCCACGGGGATGTGGGGACACGCAGAGCTGTGTGCCCGGGGGTTGGTACCTATGACTCCGATCCTGGCCACGAAGAGCAGCACAGCTGCCAGGGGCAGGCCCACACCATAGTAGCTGACGGCGTTGAGGATGGCACCGAATTTCTGCTTGCCTATGCCTCTGAGCACCCCGCTGCAGGCACCCTGCCGGGGAGAGGGAGAGCGGCTGGGGCCAGAGCCAGAAGCACCACCTTGGCCAAATTCAGGGCTCTGACACTGCCTTTGAGGGGGCTGGTGAACCATCCTGGTGATGAACCAGCTCCCCCACCTCTGCCCGGTTATTTCTTCATCCCTCCCCCATCCTGTGGGTTGGCAGCTCCTTGTGCGCTTGGTGTTTTCTAAGGGGTGACCCCTGCAGGGTCCCAGTGTTGGTGCTCACCCACAGCTTCAGGGACCCTTGACCAACCTGTGATGCTGCCACTCAGCACCGAGGTCCCATACCCAAAGCAGCAGCATCCCAAGGGACTTACACACATGGCTTCAAACAAGTGGAAGACAACGTAGACGGGCATGACCCAGGCCACCAAGTCAACAATTTCCCTGGGGACAGAGAAGAGCCAACCATCACTTTTAGGAACCAACGTCTGCACACTAGGGCTGGGAGCCGGCGGCACTCACTTCTCAGGGGTGAAGATGTATCCCAGCATGTTCTTCGTGGCCATTAAAATGGCCCCCATGGCTATGCTAAATGCCCCTGAAAAACACAGCAAACGCTGAGCCCGGCCCGGCTGTGATGGGGAGCTCAGGGGCAGCCAAAGGGAGAGAGCAGGGGACACCACAGCCAGGGGACTTCCAAGGCTCCCTGGTCCTGCCATGCCTGGAAGAAGCCTGGGCAAAGGCTTCCTGTCGTGTTGGTGGTCTGACCTGTGCAGAGCAGGCTGGTGGAGGAGGATCTCTTGGCCGTCTCGATGTCGCCGGCGCCCAGCGCGTTCCCCACCTGCACGCTGGCGGCCGTCCCCAGCCCCAGGGGGATCTGTAACCACAGGGCTGAGGCTCGTGTGTGTGTCCAGGTAATGGGGCCATTGCAGTGATGGCAGAACAACCACCCGGCAGAGACAGGGATGGAGTTCAGGATTTAATTTGAAACATCTCCATAGGAGGGATAGGCAGGAGCGGGGAGAGGCTTAAGGGCAGAGGGGGAAGACCGAGATTTGCTGGAGCTGATTTTTGTTGGGTGTCTGTCCCTTGGGAGCCCTGGTCTGAAATAATAACCCCCAGCCCTTACCATGAAAGCCACAACGGACACCTCGTAGATGATGGACTGGGCAGAGAGCTCTATGACGCTCAGCAGGCCTGGGGGAGAGGAGGTCAGTGCTGTGGGTGAGAGCTGTTCTTGGCCCAGAACTGCTGCAGACGCCACTCTGGGTCACACCCTGTCCACACCCTTGCAACTCCCCCCTCTCCACTCACCTATCAAGAAGCTCCCAATTTCGTAGGTCCACCACTCGATGCATATCATGAGCATGCTGGGCACTGCCAGGGAGGTGAAGCTGTCCCACTCCAGCAGGCACTCACTGGACCAGCCTGTAGAGAGGAGAAATGTCACCTAGTGGACAACCAGACTGGCCACTACGTCCTCAAGATCACCTGAGGCAGGTGGAGGTGCTGCTCCTGTTTGCAGAGCCACCAGGGCAATGCTCCTCAGTTCCATAAGACCTCCAGCAGCAAGCTCTGCTGATGCCTTCCTGTGGGCCACAGAGTGGTGCAACCCTCAACTCATCCCTCCCAGAGCAGAGCACCTGAGGACAACCTCATGCTTACGTCTGTGCTCATCCGGCTTTGGGGCTGAACCCTACAAAGCCTCAGCAGAAAGTGTCATTTCTCCAGAATTAATGTTTACTGCCCAGCACGGTGCCCTGCCAACCCTCGCACAGGATGTGCTGCCACCGAAGCAGCACCACATTCCTGGGGCGTACCGGGCTGAGGTTAATATTTCACCCTCAGGACTAACAGAATTAGTCCTGATAGAAGAAGTCCTGGTGGAAGTGGTGGAAGATTCACACATACTTGTGTAAGGCAGAAGCCAGAGGGAGCTGGGGAGACACTCTTACCTCCCCAGGTCTTCACGTGGAGTTTCCTTCCGATAATATACAGGAACAAGAAAATGGTTTGTGAATACTGAGCAACGGTGTTGGCCCAGGCTGAGCCCCTGCAAAGGAAATGAGAAAGGTTGTTGTCATCCTGCTCACGCCTCCCCGGCCTCGGGGTGCCAGAGCGTAACGTCCTGCGGTGCCCCCGCAAGCACCGGATGCTCAGCCATGCCTAGTGGAGCCAACATCCCTGAAAAGTTCTTTGCTGTTGCCAGGTGTTGTGTTTTCCCCTCCGTGGGACGCGGGCGCTACTCACGAAATGCCCAAGTCGAGCACGTAGAGGAAGATGCAGTTTGCGATGACGTTGACGACGTTGCCAACAATCCCGCTCAGCACCAGCGGCCACATGATCATCTGCAAAGAGGGAGGAGATGGGGGCTGCAGCACCTTCACCAAAGCTTTGGGAGAGAGGTGAGACCACATGATCATCTGCAAAGAGGGAGGAGATAGGGGCTGCAGCACCTTCACTAAAGCTTTGGGAGAGAGGTGAGAAGGTGCCCACCAGCCCCCCTGCTCAGCAGCTTTCCCAGGCAAAGAAAGAAACTTCTGATGATGTTGCCTGCTTGGAAAATGAGTGTGTTGGAGGTAAATCCCTGATTTGGGGAAGTATGATGGGAGGTCCATCAGGCAGATGGATGCAACTGGGGATGAGGTGGGATGGTGCCATGGGATGGGGTGATCTCCAGGGTCAGAGCTGTTCTGGGGCACCCAGGCAATGGTGGGGAGAAGCGCTGCCTTTTTACTAGGAAAAGCAAGCATGAAACCC